AACATAAATGATCAATTATAGGGTGTTATCTCTAAGAACCTAACTGTGGTTTGTGGTTTAACGGTGCCAGTTCCACGGAGGTGAGATTTAAGCTTTAAAGGAAGATTTAAAGGAAGATTTGAAGGAAGAACTAGGGTTAAAAGTGGTGAAAGGAGGCGGTTAAGACATTATCATCGCACGCTGTTCTAGCATCTTTCACAGAAGAGCTTAAAAAGCACTTAAAGCCAAGTGTCTTACAAATGGATAAAAGGACACACTGAAATGTGACATGTCATTTTAGAATAGATGAATAATGGAGAAGTCAAGGCAGGTGACTCTCAGGTTGGTATTCTACCACTCAACTGCATTTCTGACTTGCCTCCAAACTATTAAAACTGGGATTTTTTTGTTCTGTCTCCATATTAGCATCAGCATTGACAGAGCTATTAATAACATAGACACTAAAGGAAGAAAATGAGATTAACAATGGCATCCCATCAACTGGGTCTTCATCAAACTATGAACAAGAGGAGTCAGTGTCAAAACAGTGCATGTAATCCTTTTCTTGATTTCTAGATTGTAAAATGACTCCTAACAAGCTGACATATAAAACATAGATTACCTTCATTAAAAAGACTGCACTTTTCTTTCATTTCTTATTTTTTTACCCATTATATCTATGATGACATACGGTTTTTCTGCCACCAATTCATGGGTGAACACTACCTGGTGGTCTTAATTCGTTTCCTCTCGTAAATAGAGACTTATGTTAAAGTAAAATGAAATCAATAGATTAAGGTTAATTATGCCTTATTCTCTTTTTTATTTCCTCAGCTTATGATACAATGACTAATTGAATCTACTGAAAGCCATGGTTCTCTCTTTAATCATGTTTTAAAGAATAAGCCCATTCTCACTTTAATTTTCTCTTAAATGCTTTTGTCATCCCTACTGATTTTGGATTGAAACAGTGTAGATTTAGGAGCCATGACTTGTTTCTACTGGAAGAGATTTTAAAGTTCTGTTCACCAACCTTATTCTATAGATGCAGAAACTGAGGTTCTGTGGGGAGTTTTTGGATCTTGCTAATTTAGCAGCAGACCTGGGGAACCAAGCCAGCTTCTGGAGTGCCAGTTCAGTGTTTTCTCATTGTGAGGATGGAGTTTGGTATTTTTACCCATCGCATTTCCTATCACACTTCCAACAGGTTTGTTTGGCTTGCACTTGTTCCATTTGGGGCTATGAGGATTAAAGAAGATAATAAGTGACAGCAAATAGGAAACTTAATAAACATTAGTCGCCCTTCCCCTTTCTAAAACCTTGTGTAACTATAATTTCATACATCATGACACACTGGAAGATACTTAAGAAAAGCTCTCTTTTTAAAGAAATCTGGAATGGAATCTTTTTGTAAAGGAAGAATCTTTTATAATGCAAATAACCATCCCCTAGGTAACTTGTTTTGTCATCCTGGGTATTTATAGCACTGTGAGAGGAGTTTGTTAGTTCAGGATTGATAGAAAGCTCACTTGGCATACCCGTAGACAAATGGCAAAATTTTATGTGATTTACCAGCTCTGTCTGTGATGGATTAGATAAGGTACCTGTGCATTCTCCAGGCACTACCAGCTTTGTGATTTGCCCTGAGATGACGGGCCATGTGGGGATGCCATCCACCACCTGCTTCTCTTGAGGATATCAGAATTCATTAGCTATATAGGGTTGTTACTTTTTGACAGGAGCTGGACAGGCTGGCAAGAAAGTCTACTGTTCCCATCAGGAGGAGCTGACATTGCTTCTTCTTCTTCAGTGCATTCTCATGGGGGGATGAAATCTGTTCTCTCTCTGAGAACCGTGACATTATTGTAGTAATATAGTGGGGGACCTCCAATGTACAGACTGTCATCTAAATTCAGTGGCTCCTGAAGTGCCCACTTTTAATTAAATGTGCTGTTATAAATTACTGGACCTTCTCTGATGATGATGGCAGCATCCACAAAATTATGAACGCCGTTAAACACATCAATGTGCTGTCTATGCACTTGTCTTCAAATAATACTAAATTATTAGTATTGATGCTTTGGTAAGGGTGTATTTTCTGAGTTGTTTGTTTAGTAGTGGTGAACAGTATTATATTTTCTCTGCTTTTTCAGTCACTCTCCCTCCGGCCACTAGCTCTCATTTGTGAGATCTCTGATCTAGATGGCAGGTGGCTTCTGTACCTGTGCAGTCAGGTATAGAAGTAGAATTGTGTTCAAATTAAGACACCAGGCACAAAATACCAGTTTTACCACAAATTAGTTATGTGACCTGAGGCAAGGCTTCCCACTGCTCTGTGCCTCCGTTTACTTATCTGTGAATTGAGGATAATGATGATAATATCAATCTCACAGGATTGCTGTGAAGTGAATTACTATATATAAAGCATGAGAATTGTGCTTGATATTACATGACTGCTGTGCCATTATTGTTCTGCAAATGTGTTAAATCAAGAAATTAGCAAAGCAGTAGGATTTAAAGCCTTATCCCTCTCAGCAACTTGCTTTAACCAGTTGGGCTCAGACTAGCTGCATCTACTAATATTTCTCTTTGCTGTGTGATCTATTTGATAACTTAGGAGACTCCATCATGGGATTTTTCTCCACATGTTTGCAATAAGATGTCGAGGCAAAGTAGAAGAGCTCATGGGCGGCAGGACTCCTTTACGTGGGTGATGGTCTCTTATCCAGTCACACAAATGTCCTCTTTGTTTTGAGAACAGAGCTGATGGTTCATGTGTGTGTATGTGTGTGTGTGTGTGTGTGTGTGTGTGTGTGTCCGTGTGGTGTGAACACACTCTCTTTCTGGTGGCTTTAGGTGTACTGCAAAACTACTATATTAATTTTGAAGCATCATAATCCTCTTTGCCAGATGTCTATTAGAATTTTTCTGTAAGGAACTTACAAGAATGAGTTGAACAAAATAGAAATTGGGTTAACTCATTTTAATGAGAAGTTATATGTATGCATACATACATATGTGTGTGTATTTGTCTTTATGTTCAACTCTTGCCTCAGTATTAGAAGTCTATGTAACTAAAAATGAATAATTAACTTAATGGGAAATAACATCTATGAGTATCTTCAGTGTGTTGGGCATCATGTAAGGATTTTATAAAGACTAGCTCATTTAAACTTCAAAGTTAAGGAAACTGTGAACTCCAATAGGATCCTGAGATGAGCAGTCACTGATGGTAAATATTTGTGAGAAGTAACACTTGTAATTCTTCTTTGCATCCAAAACGGTGTCTGGTCCATAGTACATGCTCAATAAATACTTGTTGAAAGAACTGTGAATGTGTCAGTGAATGAATTATATAATTCCAAAAGAATATATTAGAATTTAAAAAAATGACTAACATTTAATCAAAGTTGAGCACTGTATGCATGACCCTAGACAAGTCAATTTACCATTTGGGATCTCAGTTTATTCATCTGCAAATCAAAGGTCAGATCTCATCAGCTCTGTAGTCTTAAAGGTTCACCATGGGATTTACACCATCCTTTACTGCCAATCAGTTTTCTCTGGTGCAGAAACACCTTTCACATTTCCATTAGTTAGGCAACAACAATTCCTGATATGTTCACTTCATTTTTCCTTTTGGCTTTGTGATTTGAAAGTAAGATTTAAAAACCAATAATGCAAGAAACAGACACATATTAGATTCAACCCCAAAGGACAGTCGACCATAACCACCGAATGAAAATAGAAATACAGCATTTAGTATCCAAAATTTCTTTTAAGTGGCCCCTTTTCTTTCTTCATTTTGATTTTTTTTTAAATTTGACTTAATTTTACCTTGTTTCACAGTTAGGTGAAAATGCTTTACCCCTACAGTCTACTGTCATCTACTTGAATAATAATACATTTTGGACATATTCTTCACTTTCTGTTGGCCCGTTTGTAATACGTTGCCCGCATTTCATCCTTTATTTTCCTAACAATTGCCAGGGGTAAAAATTAAATTAAACCACAAACTCCCTAGTGAATGAAAGGTAAAACTAATGATTAGTGCTTGATTTAGGGGATAATGAAATGAAGGCTAAAAGGAACAAGTTTTGCTTGGTATTTATGGCAAGTGTCAAATTAATGTACTAGACAGAATCATTTCACTGACTCTCTGAAATGGTATCTTCTTTTTGGAGTTTAGAGTAACACACACACACACACACACACACACACACACATAGATGTAGTTCTAAAAATAAATGTATATCTAGTCTTTGACTTGCCCCTTTAGGAAAACAGGGTCTAAACTCTGAATACATAACCGTCTGCTTATGTAAGCAGCAGTCAGAATGGAAAGCAGCTGCTTTGAGGCTGGTGCAAGCAGTACTAAAAACTGCTTAACCAATTCAGTAGTAATCTATAACTAGGCAACATCCAGGGAACAGACATACTATTAAGTAGATGTTGCCCTGTTTGAGTAATCCCTTTCCTCCATATAATCGCACTTCAGACACACATTTAATGTGCTTGACTCTCCCTCCCTGTTGTAGGAAGGAGATTGCAGAAGCAAAACAACATTAACTTTTACATTTTAATAGGGATTAAGAGAACTTCTAACTAAAATCTTTTGTAACGTTTTTTTTTAAATGTTTATTTATTTTTGAGAGAGAGAGAGAGAGTCAGAGAGACAGAGTGCAAGCAGGGGAGGGGCAGAGAGAGAGGGAGACACAGAATCTGAAGCAGGCTCCAGGCTCCAAGCTGTCAGCACAGAGCCTGACGCGGGGCTCGAACTCACAAACTGTGAGATCATGGTCGGAGCCGAAATCAGACGCTTAACCGACTGAGCCACCCAGGTGTCCCTAAAATCTTTTTTTTTTTAAGGTTTTATTTATTTAAGTAATTTCCACTCCCAACATGGGGTTTGAAGTCACAATCAAGAATTGTAGCTCTTCAGACTGAGCCAGCTTGGTACCTGTCAAAATCTTTTTCAAAGTATCCATTACAAGAGAACTCTTCAACAAAAAATATCCAGGGCTTGCTTTGTAAACACATGTACTAAAATTGGAATGATACAGAAAAGATTAGCATGGCCCCTGTGCAAGGAAGACACACAAATCTGTGAAGCATTTCATTGTTTTAAAAATACTGATTCGAAGGGGCACATGTACCCCAATGTTTATAGCAGCATTATCAACAATAGCCGAATAATGGAAAGAGCCCAAATGTCCATCGACTGATGAATGGATAAAGAAGATGTGAGATACACACACACACACACACACTACACACACACACACACACACACACACACACACATACACACAATGGAATATTACTTAGCCATCAAAAGAATAAAATCTTGCCATTTGCAACAACATGGATGCAATTCAAACATATTATGCTAAGCAAAATGTCAGAAAAAGAAAAATACCATATGATTTCACTTATATGTGGAATTTAAGAAACAAAACAGATGAACACAGGGGAAGAGTAGGAAAAATAAGATAAAAACAGAGAGGGAGGCAAACCATAAGAGACTCTTAACTATACAGAACAAACTGAGGGAAGGTGGAAGCTGGAGGGAAGGTGGGTGGGGGGATGGGTTAAGTGGGTGATGGGCATTAAGGAGGACACCAGTTGTGATGAGCTCTGGGTGTTATTTGTATGTAAGTGATGAATCACTAAATTCTACCCCTGAAACCAAAAAATAAAAATAAAAAAATCTCCAAATCAAAGTGATTCATTACAAGTAAAAATTGGATAACCTGGTTTCCAATAAAACAGAATAAAGTAGATAGTCCCTAGAGAAGGTTATGGCAATATATGTCCTAAAAATAACCAATTGCTATTCCTGGTCTCACGAAATCCTTCAGTCTTGATCCAGATGTCTCCAAATCTCAGCTCAGAGCTGTGTCCCTTTTGCCACAATCCACAGACATATATTTGACCAGTTTTGTGTAGGCCCAACACCTAGTTGTATTAACTTAGCCAAGACTTTACCCAAGTGAAGCACGACACTGTGCTTGAATAATATGCCCCCTGTCCCAAACTCAAACACTTAGGGCTCAGTTGCACACAAGTTTTGTTAACCCTCTACAGTTAATCTTTTTGGTAGCATTTTTCATGTAGCACAAAATAAACTTTAGCATGTAAAAAAAATAAAATAATGAATTACTGATATAGTAAGTTAATTCAACAGTTCTGTGATTTGCATGATTAAAAAGAAAAAGGGGCACCTGGGAGTCTCAGTTGGTTAGACATCCAACTCTTGATTTTTGCTCAGGTCGTGATCTCACATTTGTGAGATCGAGCCCTGTGTCGGGCTCTGCCCTGACAGCATGAAGCCTCCCTTTCTCCCTGTCCCTCCCTCACTCTTTCTTTCTCTCACAGTAAATAAGTAAATTTAAAATTAAACAAAAACAAAAACAAAAACAGGGCGCCTGGGTGGCTCATTCGGTTAAGTGTCTGACTCATGGTTTCGGCTCAGGTCATGATCTCACATTTTGTGAGTCTGAGCCCCACATCAGGCTCCGTGCTGACAGTGTGGAGCCTGCTTGGGATTCTCTCTCTCTCTCTCTCTCTCTCTCTCTCTCTCTGCCCCTCCCCTGCTCACTCTCTCTGTCTCTTGCTTTCAAAAATAAGTAAACTCAAAACAATTAAAAAAAATAAAATAAAACAAAAAACAAAACAAAACAACACAAAAGATATCTAATGTTTCCCATCTTTCTTATTGCAGATCGACATTTTGTATTGGTTAACTCTATACTAGACCTCTCTTATACCCGGAAAAGGTGGGATATGTTTTCAAGAGTCCAGGACTTGCAATCAGAAGAAAGTTACCTAAACCCATACAACAAATTCATGAGACTCAGAACAGTAGATTCTGATTATTGAAACATATTTGACCCAGATTTTGTAGGTTATACGAACATGGAAGCTAGCTATATTCCAAATATATGTGACAGGAAAATATAACTACAAAGACAGATGGCCGTCCTCTCTCCTAATGACCCTCACAAAGTTGGTGTGGTTGCCAGTTACAGTGAAAGGAACACGGTTGGCTTCTAGGCTTATGTGTGGAGACATCCAGACCAAGACTGAAAGAATTTCTTAAAAAGACCATGGATAGAGATGGATTATTTTTAGGCTACATGATGACAAAGCATAAAGAATTAAAAGAGTGGTCAGTCTGATCAAACTCCTCAAAGGTCTTTCGATATCCCCACTCACCTCAGGGCTTGGTTCATGACTCCCACATATTCACCTCCACTTCCACCTATTTCCCACCAGACGTCTTCCTTGGGGTGATTCACAGGTATCTTAACTTAGCAAAGCCTGTTCCTCAAGTTCAGGGGCTGAGTTTCAGCACAGGGAATTTTCACTGACACTCTACTCAACAGTGGATTCAGGTAATTCAGATCATCCTTGAGAGATAAATCTTGATAAAAACACAATAAGAGTTAAAGAAATGGCCCCCTCAGTTACTCTGTAGGGGAGAAATTATGCTGGATTTGGCAGTGCTCGGATTAACACCATCAACCATTGGAATAATAAAACCATTTTTCCTTTTTCTGATTTTTCATTCACTACTCTTCCCAATCTCTGCATTTGTGTTTTTCCTTCTATGTGGAACATTGGTTCCAAGATTCTTTACTACACAAATCCCTTCCATACCGATCAAACCTCTCTACAATATGCTCTGTTGCCTATGACATAGTAGATGTTCAAAAAGCACTTTGAACATCAAAAACATTAATGGTTTTTGAATGAAGGAAAAAATGAACGATAACAAGAAAATCTGGAAGGTTCTTAAAGGTGTCTTGGAGCAGTTTAAGCTCTTTCAAGGATGGTGAAAGATGTGGCGACATTTCTTCCCCGAAAAGTGTAAGGGATTTTACACAACATTCAGTTGCTCTGAAGAGAAAGGCCAGATGAATCACAGGTGTATTTCAACACACTCAGTGTATTGTGATAGATTAAACTTTCTTAAAGGAAGGTACTGTGTGATGTAATTGGATACTCTGGCTTGTATCTCTCCCCTTGGTGTCAGTAGGTTGATGGGGTATGAAAAGTTGAGGTTATGAGGATTTAGTTGCATGGTTTTTGTTTTTTGTTTTTTGTTTTTTACTTAAAAGACATGCTTTGTTAAAGGCCAGGGCTTAGAATAAGGTATAAGCCCTAGTTAATAAAGGAAACACTCTACATTTCTCAAAGTTAGAAACATTACAGGAGGAAGAAAAACTTGAACCCAGATTCTATGACATAGTACTAAAATGCAAGGGGGAAACACCAGTCATTTTAGTAGGAAAAGGCAAACTGATCTGTGTTTGGAATATACTCAAAGATGAACCATACTTGAATTCTCCTTCTGATTTCTTAGAGTAGTATTATTTTATTTTATTTTATTTTATTTTATTTTATTTTATTTTATTTTATTTTATTTTATTTTATTTTTTATTTTTCAGGAAGTTTCTAATTTTGAGAATGCCAAACCAAAAAGAAAGTAAGTCAAGTTTACTTTGAAAACTTTCTGTTCTCTTAGTTCTATAATGCTGAACGGAGTATTTTAGTGGTTTTCCTGTCAAAGTGTGCTTTAAAAAATTGTCGTGCACAAATCTAGATTGGTTTTACTTTGCTACCATTTCTCTGTTTATGCTGATGCATAGGAAACCTGTGCTGTGACATTCCTGTACACAAGGATGTGAAAATTCAATTTCTAGAAGAAGAAACATGTGTTTAAACTAGGCTCAGATTAAAGTGGGAGCCTCCTCCAAAACACGCTTCTATTGGTGACCTGTTAATCTTCTGAAGAGTTCTTCTAATCCAAATAAAAATGTGTTTGCAAAGAGATTTGGGTTATTTCGGTCAGGCTTGGTTTTACAGTCAGCACAGCAAGCTGCCGGAGGATGTGATACACACATGTTGCATAAGGTAATGGGATTTTAACTAACACATAGGAAATACATAGGGGCCGGAAGTTGGTGTATGGGGAAATTTCCAGATTGGTTGCTGATGATACAGAATAGCTTCCTTGCACTCTGGAATGGTCTGAGACCAAATTGTTAACAGGTGAAATTCTCTCCAGATGTAGTCTTTCTGGACAGCCTTGCTTTCCTGCCCCCAAGGCATTCTCTGCTTTCCTAGGCTTTCCTCCCCTTCCTGCTTTCTCCCAGGAAGGATATAAAATACATCCATAGTAAGTAGGTAATTGGATGATTAACAGCTTAGAGTACCTGCTAGGCAAGGGTAGTTGTATTTTAGCCACAGTTAAGTACTTAAACTTCGCAAGTGGCATTTTAAACCTGAGCTGGAGTGAAGAAGGAGCTTTTTTGGCAGTGTTCTCTCAGGCTTAAAAACTGCCGTGCCAATGTAGTTTTTTTATTCTATTCACGGATAAGGAACTCACCAATTCCAAATAAAATACTTAAATGAGATTACAGCCATTGGCCTATGATTGATGCTTCTATAGATTAGAGGATACCAAAACATGGAGGGGCAGATGGGGAATGGGTGAGGGGGAAGCTCCTGATGCTGACCGAATTAGAATTTTCCAAAATCCGTTAATGTGCTCCTTGGAATCCAACCACATAAAATCAAACTGAAGGCTCTTGAGTTTCTTAATTCTTTTGTCCACCACTCCTCTAAAAGGAACAACATCTCATGTTGTTATGCACCCACTTCACCTTAGGATAGTATAAATAGCTGTTTTGAATACTTACTATTTGCTAAGAGGTGTCCTCAGTGTTTGCATTAAAAAAATAAAGAACAAACCAAAATAAAATGGTAAAGAAAAAAATTATATATGCAGGTTTTTTCTGAGCTTAAGATGAACTTGGCTTTAATTTAATGACTACCAAGAATAAAAATAGTGGAAAACACTTAAGCTGTAACAAAGTTAACTGTAGGTACAGGACATGTGTGTGTTCATCGAGCGCACAAAATAATTAACATGATTGAGTCAGCATAGTCCTATCCTCTCTCTTTTAGACATTTTATTATGGAGATTTTTAATCATACACGAAAAATGAAATAATAATGAACTCCCATCACCAAGCCTGAACAGGTATCAATCTATAGTCAAACTTGTTTAATTTCTACCCATTTGACTCCCCAGCCCTTCAATCTCCACTATTTTTTG